CGTGATTGGCTGTTACAGTATCAGGACCATAAACACTATTCACATTTTCAGCCGCCTGGCTTGCGTTTTCGCCTTTATCGAAGAAAAACTGTAAAATATGGCGTATTTTCTCTTTGCTGGTGTCCATCTTTGACGCGCGCTCAAACAATACTGAGTCAAACAATCACAAAACTGTCTCAGAAGTATTTTTAGTACGAAATCTTATCTTTCTAACGCTATATAGCGTAAACCGATTGCACTTATACAACGCGAGATACACATTACTAAAGCCATCTATTGGAAAAATAATGGATTTCTTTTTATTACACCTTATATATAATAATTCGCTAACTATACACTGGATCACTGAGCCTTGATTAATTATTATTAATAATTTTTTAAATAATTACTAGTATTTTTCTGTAAGAAAAACTCCAATAAATATTCATACATACACGTATATATAATCTCCATAGAATCTCCACCAAACCTCTGTAGAAACTCCATAGAACCTTCATTTAGTATATTTAAAGGTCGCTTAAATGTACGTTTGAAGGTACATAAGCGGATATTTGCATGTCTAGTAAAAAAGATTTATACAATAGTAAGGATGTTCGGAAATAATTCAACCGATTTTGATGAAAAAAAAATATATGTTATGAACATCAATGAGACTACTAAAGAAAAAAATGAAAACAAAATTCTGACAAAAAGTACGTGTAAAAAAATATTTTTAAATTTCTCAAAAAAAATTTTTGAGGTTATGTTTTAGAGATGCACCTTAAATTATTTTTCTAGAAAAAACTTTAAAATTTCTACTTCAACATATATTTTTCCAAATTTGTCGTGGTGACTCATGACGAAAAATGACGAAAATCGTGCAAGCGACGCGACACCACACTTTCATAGCACACTCACTCTACGCGATGTACGCATACATCGAAAGTATTAGTCTAATTTTTATGCTGGATTCATGAATTATTTTACGACAAAGTTACAGAAAATTTATATTTCATTTTTATTTGTACATTTATTTTATGCGCCTTTCTAAAAAGTTAAGTAAAATTACGATTGCTATAACAATAATGAAATGAAATTATCTATTTCGTGAAAGCAGTTAAAAACAATATATTGACATTCTATTTATATAAAGTATTTAAATAAGGATCGTCAATAATTAGCCTATAAAAATATGTTTCCATAATTCATCTCAAAAAATATTTAAAACACAAAGAACTCAAAAAAATTAAATTTAAAAAATATACATAAAAGGGCTAATTTGCGTTCAAGCACCGATGTAATAGTGCTATTGTATAATATAGATAAAGCCTTCCTTATGTTAGGAAATAGAGAAATCCTTTATTGAATGTAACATAAATCATCAAACATTTCGGCTCAATCGTGAACCCTCTTCAATGATAATTACAATAAAATAAAATTACTCAAGGATTGTACAGAAAGAATTACAAAACGATGGTATCGTGACTCGGGCGAAACAAACAGATCTCAATGTTCTTCTTGATATTACAATCGACAAAAACGTTAAGAAAACAGTGATTTTGCAATAGATAATTTGATCCAAAAATTATGATGTGTCCGTCATAACTCTAAACATTAAAAAACCCCCCCAAAAAAACAAAAATAAGTAAGAATTGTAATATCAATGTATAAAAATAAATATTTAAATAATAAATTACCTCAGATAAAAGTAAGCTACTATAGAAATGTGAAACGTTCCTGTCGACGCCAATATCACCAAGTCAGAGAAATACGAATAATAACAAATTTATTTACATAAGCACAAGATATCGAAGCGCTAAACACGTGGAAGAGAAAGAAAACAAAACCGGGAGACTATCATAATAAACCGCAGTAGCTGTCGCCCAAATACTCTGTGTCCTTCTGTGAATTCAATCCATGCCTTTGGAATCTAATGTAAATTATCTCTGCAATCAGGCGTTTCAAGTAAAAACGTTCTTCATGCAGAACCTTGACATGTTTCCAGTCAAAATCGTGATTCTTCTTGATTCGGTATTCCTGTACAACCGTCAGTTCCTCCCGTAAATTCTTTGGGATTTTCCTATGCTCGGCAATACGTGTGGAGAGTCTTCTGCTGGTTTGTCCAACATATGTAGCCTCACAATTTTCGCATTCCAACTTATAAACAACGTTATTATTGTTACGTCCTGCGATTTCTCCTTTTTTTTTTTAAGTGCTAACCCGGTGTCGTGAACTTTATTATTTAAGTCGCGGGTTTAGCTAATTTTCTCGAGGACGCGTTTCAACGCGAGCGGCTACGTTGAATCTTTGGCAGGCTGAAAGGCCGAATACGTTGTTAGCGGAATCTCGGGGTACGCGACTCTTTATTCGGCTTCCGCGGGAAGGTCAGCAGTAGATGAAAATAACCGTGAGGCGATTGGGAGTACGAAAATAAAGGGAATTTATTAGTAAGGAAATGCACAATACTAGCGACGCAAGGCGATAAGCGCGAGGTAATAATATGGTTTGTCGACTTATCCTAATCGCCAGGTTCCTTCTATGATGCAGGAGGTTTGATTCACTGGCTGCGGCTGGAGAAGAGTTGCCCTGGTGTTGAATCTGATCTATATTTCACTCGCGAGACTCGTATCGGAAGTTATGAAATTGAGGAGCAAGTCGTTCGCGGAGCAGAAAAAGAAGAAGAAGGTATAGAGCCAGAGAGGCATAGAGCCAGAGAGG